ATTATTATTATTATTAATAAGAGGATCAAATAATCTTTATTACGTTTAATTCATTATAAAGTGAAATTCAATATTTTTTAATAATTATCGTAATGAATAATAATAAAAAAAAAAAAATTATTCAAACGTGTTAAATGTGATTGGAAAGTAGTAATAATTCGGATAATTATTATTATCATCATTATCATCATTATTATTATTATTATTATTAATTACTCGATTGATTCATTGATTCGGGTGGGTAACCAAAAATAGAGATGGGATTTGTTGATGGTTATAATAGCGACATTGGCCTTTATTTTACTATTTCCGCTTCTTTTTTTTTTTTTTTTATTTTTTTTTACCATGAAAAAATTTAAAAAAAAAAAAAACGAACAAACAAACAAACAAAACAAACATTCGAAATTTAAAATTATAAAAATGAAAATTTTTTTTTTGTTTAATTTTTTTTGAAAATTTTCAACTTCGTGATATTTCAATGATTCATTCAAATTTATCATTATTATTTTTTTTAATTTCGGCCTTAAATCGGTTGATTGAGGTGGGAGAAAGAGAAAGAGAGAGAGAGTGACAGAGAGAGAGAGAAAGAGATATGCAAATTGCAGACAGAAAAATTTGACTTTTACTCATTAAAAAAAAAAAAAAAGAAAAAAAAATTTTTTTCTAAAAATGATTTTAAGTTTTCATTTTTATTTTTTAAATTATTTAACAAACGACGACGACGACAAACAGCGACAAACAACAACAATTTGCGTTAAATCTTTGAACTCTTATACCTGAATAAAACAAACGTTGATTATACACATGAAATTAATCCCTGAAAATCATCCCGGATAACAACATTCGATAAATAAACAAAATAAATTTACCTTATGAAATCATTCCGGTTAAAAAAAAAAATCCAGGTACCGGGTTGTTTGAAGATATCCTGAAGAAATTCCCCCACGTAAAAAAAAAAATAACAGCCTTTTTAATTGTTTAAAAAAAAAATGAATGAATTAATAATAATATTAATATTATTATTATTATTCTCTAAATAATGAAATCGGAAATTATTAAACATTCGATGATGATGATGGTGATGATGAATATATAAATTTTAATAATTTAAATAAAAAAATTATTTTAAATAAAATTATATTATTAATACATAAATTATTTAAAATAGTTTTTCATCTATTAATTAAAAATTCAAAAAAGTCATCATGTTTATAATAAATAAATAAATAAATAAATATTTTATTTATACCTCGAGGTGTAAATAATTATTACCTTGAACAAACGAAGACGTTTCTTTTCGTTAATTATTAACTTTTTTTTTTTTTTTTTTAAGCGAAGGACACCATCGAAACCTTTTTCTGCCCCCCCCCACTTCCCCCTCCTTCCCCCTCCCCTCTCTCTCGTCTCTTTCTAAAAAATTCTTGTTTTTAATAACCCATTCGACCGTTAAAAGAAAAAAAAATCGCTGACAACTTTTTGTTTTCCCAACATAAAAAATATGTTGTAAATTTTAATAATTCGGTTTTATTTACCTACAACAATTCTTCTTTTATACTTGTGTGTGTTTGTTGTTGTTGTTGTTGTTGTTGTTGTTGTTGTTGTGGTTGTTGTTATTGAAGAAGGTAAACACCTCAACCAAAGTCTCTCACATAATTAAATTAAACTTGTCGGTATTCATACCTGAGGGATATTTGAAATTTTTTTTTTTAATGCTCCTTCCGCCGAATAATCAAAAACAATAATAATAATAATAATAATAATAATAATAATAATAATAAAATTGTGTATTATTATTACTTTACAAAAAATTCCATGTTTAAATTAATAATACATTCGTATGAAATTAATTCACGGTAATATTATAATAATAAAAAAAAATTACGACGACTTTCTATTGTAATTATAGTTAATACGATTCATTAAATAATAATAATAATAATAAATAATTTTTTTAATAGTAATTAAAAATTAAAAAAAAGATTTTATTTGTTTTTTGTGAGGTAACGTCAATGAATAAGAGAGAGAGAGAGAAAGAGAAAAAAACATATATATTGTGATTCGATATTATTACTTTTTAATATTACTATGGAAATTAGTTTTTAGTAAAAAATCAATAAATAATATAATAATAATTTAATATAAATTTTTTTTTTTTCTCATGGGCAACGGGAATTTCATTATGTATATTCAATTCAGATGAACCGGTTTAAATTATTCCAGGCGAACGAAGGCGGACTTTTAATATAAATACCGGAAAATTAAATATCTAAAAATATATTATGTCAGCCAATCAGGCTGTCGCATGCAATCTTTTACCGCAGGAAAAAAAAAAAAAAAAAAAAAAAAACTGGATTATTTTTAACTAATTAAAATCCCCCCTTTTTTCCCTAATTAATCCATTTGCATTTTTTCCTCAATATTATTATTATTATTATTATTATTTTTGTTTCTATACGTTATTGTTGTAATTTAAATTCTTTTTTTAAAAAAATTGTTTAACGATTTTACAACTATGTTAAATTACGTACACGAAAGTATCACAATTTGCCTGCAATAATTTTTTTCAGGCGTTTAATTTTTTATTTAATTTTATTTGGCTCGCGATCGTGTTTTTCTAATTTTTTTTTTTTTAATTAAGAAAAAAAAAATAAAGAAAAGGAACAAGTTAACTAATTATTACTTTAAAAAAAAAAAGAAAGAAAGGAAAAATAACAACAACGCCTGAGTAAAACATCCGGCGTAAAGGCATAAATTTTACTCGTAAACAAGTCATCATTTTTATTTATTATAAAAATGATTCACAACTTGTTTGTTAATATGTTAAGAAATTTATTAAAATTATAAATAAAAAAAAATGTAATGTATACCGTAATTAACATTACGAAAAGGAATAAAATAATAATAATAATAATAATAATAATAATAATTATAGAAACTAATTAGAAATGTTTGTTGTAATGATAAAATTATTGGTTAGAAATCGATTAATTAATTATTTATATATTTTCTTTAAATCGATAATAAATAAATAAATAAATAATCATCGAAGCATTTCTTCTTCTTATTGATACAATACAGGTACAATTCAGTAAAAAGAAATAATTATAAATTTTGAAATCGATTAACTTTTTCAAGTGGAAATTTAATTTTTTTTTGTTCTGATAATTTTTACGAAATTGGCGAAAAAGAATTTTTTAAAAAAAAAAAGGAAAAAAAATAAAAAAAATTTTTTTTTTATTATGCCAACATTTGTTTACATTTTATTTATTTAACAATAATTACAACGGCTTTTTTTGTTGTTGTTGTTTATGTTTTAAATTTAAAATGAATTTTATCGGATTCGGAAGAAATAAAAAAAAAGGAACAGAATTTTTTTTAATGTAAACAATCATGGGATTTGTTTTTTGCTGTTGTTGTTGTTGTTAATAATGACCTCCCAATCCAGATTGGAAAAGATGTCCCGAAGAAGAAACTTGTGGGTGTTGAGAATGTCCGGTTCTTTTTACGACAGCATTAAATCCGTTATGTTTATCAGCCGTGTATTCAACTTTACGAACGCTGCCATCAGCTTCAACAACGCTATTACATATTTCGTTAACAATATTATTATTATTATTATTAATATAAATCCGATTTAGAAAATTATTATTGGAACTCAAAAATTACCTGTACGATCCTTTTACGATGTCACCATCTCTAGTTTCCCATTGATCTTTTGAATCTCCTGTGTGTGGATCATGCACGGAATATTTGTAAGTGTATTGCGGATGACTCTGAACATAAAAATAATAATAATGATGATTATCGTCGTAAATTTTTTTGTTGTGTTTTTGCAACAATCGTCGTTAATATACATACGTATTCGTCGTGATGCGAATCCAATAAATTGTGACCACCATATTCTTCCAAATGTCCTCCGGCTACGAGGGCAATGCTAATAGCAAGAAAAACAAAGATGATACCCTAAAAAAAAAATTTTTTTTTTAATTTTCTTTTCTTTTTCGAATCCGATAAATTGGAAAATGTTTTTTTTTATTTTTTATTTAATTACTTACTTTGATGCCTTCCATTTTAGATTGATTTTTTTTTTAAATTTGTTGTTTTGAGGAAGTTCTCACTATTAATTTGAAAGAATAACTGATACCTAATAAACAATTGGTAACGATATTTATACCAATTCGTAATTGGTAGCCAACCATTGAATTTTTTATTTAGCATAATTTCCTCAATTAGTATTATTATTATTATTATTTTTTCAACACTCATAGAACCAAAAAATTTAGTTTAATAAAATTCTAAATTTCACAAGGGGCGGATTCTCCTCCATTCTCCTCCTCCTCTTCATCCTCCCATTTTTCCTTTGATCTACGTGTTTTAAACAAATATCATATAAGACCTAAAAACTCCACCTTAATTCTTTTTTCCTTTTTTTTCATATTGCCATCATAAATAAGTTATGTATTTATTTATTAATTAATTAAGTTGTTTATTTATTGATGAAAAAATTGTGGCAATTTATTTTTAATAAATCGTCATCATAGTTTGTTTCGGTAAAAACTTTTTGCTTTTTATTTTTACTTAATAAATTTCTATTAATTTTTTTTTTTTAAATTGTATATGTATATATGTGAAATATATAAGTTAAAATAATTTACCCAAAAATTTAATAATAATAATAATAATAATAATAATAATAATATTTAAATACGTAAATAATTTTATTTATCGGAATAAATTAAAAAATAAATTATACAAGTGATTATTAATTATTTTATTACGGTCTAATTATTAAAAAGTTACATAACTCCGACATTTTATTTATTTATTGAAATAAACGTGTATTTTTGTTTTCTTTATAAGTTAATAAATAAATAATTTTTTTATTGATAACAATTAAAGTTATTTATTAAAAAATTATTAATTTCGGGATGATGATGATGAGAAGTAAACAAAAAAATTTATTTTGAAATGTTTTTTATATTTATTAAATTACGAAAAAAAATAAATACATAAATACATAATTAATTCCATAAATTTTATTAATAAACGTTCATTAAACATTATTTTCGCTGCGTTTTTTTTTTTACTTGTTGCGTTATCAATTTGATGCTTATCAGTAGGAATAAAAATTACTTAACAAAGCGATGATGATAAAACAAAAAAAATAAATTGCAACTTTTAAAATATTATCATTATTATTATTTTATTTATTTATTTATAAATTTTATTGATTATTAATGTATGTAAAACAAAAAAAAAATTAGGGTTGTGCGTTTTTAATAATTATTTTGACGAAATGGTTGAGAGAATAAGAAAGAAGAATCGTATGTGGAATCTTGTTTTGATTGTGATGAAACTGGAGAATGTAAAAACCATCGTAAATTTCCATCTCGAAATGGAAATATTCCAGAAGGTTCCGGTTGTTTTTCGTCATAGTAATCCAATGAATTTGATATTTCGTTCGGCTGTTTAAAAAAAAAATTATTTACTACTCGCGAGAACACGAATTGAAAAATTTATAAAATAGAAAAAAACTCACAATTTTATTTAATCCGATTTGATAATTTTTATTAAAATTATTTTTTATTATTTCCGGTTGTAAAAATTTTAAAAATTTTTTCGGTATGTTTTTCTCATCCAACTGAGTCAAAAAAAAAAAAAAAAAAAATTTCAACAATCATTATTATCATCATTTCGACGGGGTTTTGTTTGATTGAAAACTTTTCTCTACTTACCTGATTATCCATAAAACAATTTGATACGTTTATATATAAGGTAAACATAAACAAAATCATCTGAAAATTTTAATAATAAATCTATAAAAACAAACATAACTCGAAAAAAAAATTTTCTTCTATTACAAACACAAACCTGAATTTTAAACATAATTGAAAACATTTTGTTTGTTTTACGCGCAACACAAAATTAAATGAAAAAAAAAAAACAAAAATTTTATATTTGTTGTATATATATAGGTGGTTAGTAGGGAAAGCAGAAAAGACAAAACAAAAACATTTTTTGTTCTTTTTTTCATTGGAAAACATAATCGAGATTAGGTACAAATCGCAAAGTTGCACCGATTTGTCGATTTATTATTGTTTTCACTTTTAACTTGATTGAAAACATATTTTTTTGAAATGTTTTTATTTGACGGACGTTGAATTAAAAAAACAAATTAATTATGTTTTGTTTTGTTTTTTGTGACTCGTGTAAGGTTAATAAAATTATTAGTTTTTTATTTCTTTTCATTATTATTATTATTACTTTATTTTTGAAGTGAAAATGAAATGAATATCCTGTTGGTTCAAACATATTCAAACATTACGAAACACTAAACGGAAAAGACCTGTCGATAATATTTAGAGTTAATGATGAGGTATCAGTTAATGATTTATTATTATTATTTATTACTAGTAATAATTAAGTTTGGTCTTTGAAAAAAAAAAAAAAGAAAATTTTTTTCATTTATTTTTGTATTTAAAGACGTTTTTCCTTTACTCCTCTTTCTTTCCTCTTCTTCTACCCTCTCCCCCAGCACGTCGTTTTACTTTTAACGAATATTTGGGGAGGTAAAAAAAATTAATTAATTATTAGGACAATATTTCTTACGGTAATTTTTTTTCCGAAATATTCCACATAATGTTCCATAATTAATTAAAATATACGATTTTTGTTTTTTTTTTTTTATTTTGTTATGTTTTCGTTATAAAACTTCAAACGGATGTCGATAATAATAATCATAATAATAATAATAATGTTTTGTTTACGTAACTATCGATAAAGTATAAAAATATATTTGAATTATTTAAGCTAGGCTTATATAATAATTTTAAAAAAATTAAAACTGTTTTTATTTATTTATTTTTTTAATTGATAAATAAACATAGTGATGTCAATTTTACTTATTTACATAATACGTATTAATAATAATAATAAATTACATTATTTTTGAAGGAAAATTTTTTTTTTATAAAAGTGGAGGGTGGGAAAAAAAAGTAAGTTTACGATTGAATTACTCGATTTTATTTATTATAGATAAAATTATTATGTTCCGGTCAAATTATGTTTATAATTAATGTTTTCGTAGTAATTTCGTTATTATATTATGTTGTGTGTGTGTGTTTTTTTTTGTATGGAAAAAACATAAAATTTTTTAAAAATTTTTAATGATACGTTTTATGTTTTTAATCCAGTTTCATACAACAATTTTACACGGTTTTTTTTTTTTTGAAAACAAAACAAAAAACAGGAAAAGGTTTTATTTTTTATTTTTACCAGGAAAACTTTATTAATGTACTACTAACCATCGGGTAAAATTTACCTTAATTATTTTAATTAACATAAAAATGAAATAAGTTGTAAACACAAAAAAAAAAATTATTAATAATATATTTTGAAAATTGCCTATACATAAATAATTAGGCGTTTATTTATTTTTTGTTCATTAAATTTCGTGTATTAGTTATTTAATTATACATAAAGTATACCCTCGTTGAATCATTTTTATTGGTTTTTAATTAGTTTATATTTTTTTTTCCTCGATTGTTTGTTATTTATTATACCTCAAAAAGATTTTTGTCTACTGGTCATTACGCAAAGTATGCTGTTATGAACAACATTAAAAAATTTATATCAAAATTATTTTTTTTTTTGGGGGGGGGGAAATGAATTTGGAAAAAAAAAATTAAGGAAATGTAAATAAAAACAAACGGTTTTTTTTTATTTAATAAATATTTTTTATATTATTATTATTATTATTATTAAAAATAATAATAATAAAAAATAAACAACTCTTTGGGGACTGGTGTATAAAAATATAATTCTGTATAAGCTTTCTGAGAATGTAGCACACATGAGTGAAAAGGGAAAGAAGAAGTGATGAGTATGATATACATATGTAAAAGAAATAAAATGTGCTACAATCTTGAAAGCAAAAGATCTACAAAAGGTAAAAAAAAGAAAAATTAGCGTCAGCCTTATGTAGACGTTTTGCCTTAAGATTTAAAAACCATGGCAGCCCAAATTATTCACAGACGACATCGTTTAAACAGGTAGCTAGCTGGGTATATATTTACGTTCAGTAGTGTCCCAATCCGTATCCACCGTGACCGCCGGCAGCAAAACCACCACCGTAGTGTCCGTAAACTTGTGGGTGAACGGCGTGACCGAGTTTCTTAACGACAGCGTTGAATCCGTTGTGTTTGTCAGCGGTGTATTCTACGACTCTGGTGGTACCGTCTGGTTCAACGAGAGAGTATGATCCCTTAACGACATCACCATCTCTGACTTCGTGTTGTTGTTTAACATCACCGGTGTGAGCATCGTGAACTCCGTAGTCGAATCCGTATTTTGGATAAGCCTTTAATAATAATAATAAAATTTTCTTACTTTTTTTTCTCTACCAAAAAAAACAAATTTTAAATTTCAATCTTACGTAGTGGTCATAGTGTCCACCATATTCTCCACCGTATCCACCAGCGTGACCACCATAACCACCTCCGTATCCGCCACCTAAGGAAAGAAGATTTCCATTGGCGTAAGAAGTGGCTCCACCGTGGATTCCGGCTTCAGCAATGGCAACCAACAAAACAGCGGCAACAACAAGCTGTCAATTAAATTTAAATTTAAATTTTTTCAAAAAATATCGAACGACATTAATAATTTATTTAATTTATCGAATCGATTTACATAAAATATCCGTTATCGGTATCGATTATTAAATTTTACGATCTAGTTTTTTTTCGATATATTTAAAAAAAAAAAAAAGAAATCTACCGTAAAAAAACTCGATTAAAAAGTGAAATTTTTTATCATCATCATCATCATTATCAAAAAAAAAAAAACCCAAAAATTGAACGAAAAGTAATAAAAAAAATAAAAAAAAATTTTTTTAATTTTCACTCCATCACTTTTTCTTATCACCACTGACAACAACAACAACAAAAACACTTCACTTGGATAAAACACAAACTTACCTTGGCAAAAACCATTTTGATTATTTATATGTATTAAAATATCCAAAAAAAGGAAAAAAAAATTCGGGATTTTAGTCGTTGATAACTAAAGAACTAAACTGACTCAACTGATAATTAATCCAAAGTCCACCGGGTATTTATATTAAAAATTTTTTCATTCCAATCAATCCCCGAATCCACATTCTCTTTCAATTCAATTCGCACTTTTTCTAACGTTTACTGTTTCTTTTTTTTTTTCTAACTTTTAAAATGACACTCATGAATGATAAGTTAAACATGAGAATTTTTTTCATTTTAATGAAAAAAAAAAAAATTTTTTTTCTTTTATAATATCGACGATATGCAAAATCCACGCCGCGACTTTTTTTTTTTTTTTAATATTTATTTCGTTAAAGTTTAAAATGTTTTATGTCCATTTTTTTTTTTTTAAAGTAGGGAGCGAGGGCATGGGAGGGGAGAAAACAAAAAAAAATAAATAAACGTACCTGATTTTCCCATTAACATTTGGAAATAATAAAAAAAAAAATGTTTACAATTTTTTTTTTTTCCCGCGTTTAACTATCGAAATTTATTGTTTAACGTAATAATAATAATAATAATAATAATAATAATAATAGTGACCCTGAGGTTAATTAAAATTTACAAATTAAGGGCAATCCTTGCTTTTAGGGTCCCTTTTAGAATTTTTTTTTCTTTTTTTCGCAATTCTCCAGTCACATGCCTTTTTTTTTTTTTTTTTTGAATTCATTGTGTTTGTGAGTTTTTTTTTGCACCTGAAAGTAAACGTACAGGTTCAAGTTTTTCTAATTTTTTTTGTACAAAATTCATGAGCCATATAGTTTTATTAATATTTTCTCACCATTCTTCTTCTTCTTTCCATAAAAGTGATAAACAAAAAATTTTTTTTTCCCTCCCTTTCTTTGATTTTTAAATTGTGACGTCAAAAAAATTTTTACGACTTTAGAAAATGGAGGAAGGGGATGGATTGCAAGATTGAAAAGATGGAAAATGTTCTTGTGTGGAAT